GAAGTCATAACATTATCTTTATCTGCAACTGCCAATTTGTTGCCTGCAACGAGGCACGGCAGATAAAGAGCCACCGGCTGGGTCCTCTGAAAACTCTTCTTTTTCTTATTTTTTATATTTTCTGCAGTCTTGCATATCTTTGCATTCGCAAGCAGGCGGTTTTCCCCTCGTGTTTCCATCCGCCAACGCACCAAGCAAACTCGTTGTCGCACCTCGGATTCCTGGCAAGTTGTTGTCCCAGTTGCAGTTGCACTCTTCGTTCCACCTGTCCAGGTGTTAACTCATTTGCGTGGCTCTTAAGTGACTCAATAACGACATCTCAAATTGAGGACTCCCCGCAGAGGCTGCATCTCATGGATACACACGCCAGAAGTCGCTTTTCTTCGTTTGCAATTTGCAGTGACAAATTTGTAAAGCCAGCCAATGTATTCGATATTCCGGTAAAATAAAAACTGGTTTTTAAAGAAGATGTTATTGGTAAAAGAGCACACAATTTGCAATGCTAAAGTTTCCTTTATACAAAACTGGAACTTATTTCTAACATCCCATAAATTCCATTTCATTGATTTTAATCAAGTTTTTCGAAGAAAGAGTTTACCTTATCAAAAGAAATCAAAAGAAATACTAGATATTTTTCCTTCCGTTAACCGTTTTCTGTGTCAGATACAAGATTTTTTATCAACAACGATTTATCAAAAGTGAAACAGGAAAAACTCTTTGTAGTTAATTATTTGGCAAAGTTTTCCTCTTGACTCGTTTCCTCAACTTCAACTTGTTTCCCATCAGTTGCAGTGGATCCCAGAGTCCCTTGAGCTTGCTCAAACTCTCCGATTCGATTATTCTCGCTTCTGTTTCCGTTTCCTCGGATCCTTGCCACTTTTCGCCAGTGCAATCATGGCAGAGCACAAAAAAAAAAACAACTTCAATCCGAATTAGCTTCAGTCAATACGTATGTTCAATATTTGGCAATGGCTTTTCCTACTTTCTTGCTTGGAAACGCCCGGAATCCATTGTTAACAGCTTCATTAAGTCCATGGCAAAAGGATGGTCGTAAAAAAGGAGCTCTCGCCCCTGCATAAGGGGAAATATTACAGCAGCCATAAAAATATTTTTTTTTCGAGGAAAATTGAAGGAAACTTGCTTCTCAACATTGTACTTGTATTTCTTGCACGTATTTATTCAAGGCTCTTGGCACCCTCGCCCCAAGTTTTTCCATTCAAACCGCAGAGGAAAATAAAGAAATTCATTTGGAACTCGCGTACCTGGATCTTGAGCCAAGGAATAAAGTTTCGACTTGACTGCATTTTAATCAAGCCGAGAACCACGAACCAAAACCGAACTGAACCACATTTTTTGACCCTCTTGATTATGTCGAGCATGGTGGAGTGTGAATTGTTCAGCTTTTGGGGTGTCAAAAAGACCTGGTCCCCTTGCCAAAGTCATAAAGGATAAGTTGCCGTTAAATTGCGGTGAAAAATTGCGAACATTTTTGAAATGGTTGCTAAGACCGAAAATAGAAGCTTGATGTTTTCATAATTTGTTGTGGCTTATGGCTAGAAGAGGTTACCAAATGCAACAATAATTATAAAGATTCTCTATTATTTAGGTTTCTTAAAGAAAAGAATGTTTATGTATAATTTATTGAAAAGTACACTCTAAAATTGTATTTATATAGAGGAAAATGACATTAATTCAGCACGTAGCACAAGTTTCACATGCCAATTTTCCTAACAAATTCAATTTTTATTCGCTCATCTCTCAGATTCGTTTGCTTCCACCATAGAAAAAGTGGTAACGTGGATGCATGGGTGGATTTAAGGGTGGTTGAGACAAAGGGGAACAACTTGGAAAAGTTCAAGCTGGCACACACTTGAAGATGGCACCACAGACGCTGAGCCCACATCCCCTGAAAATCGTCTGAGCTGCGATGAGCTGCTGTTGCCGACTCTTTCTTGCATATGTACGCCTTTCTCTTTCGCTGGGGTTCCCCAAGAGTTTCCCCATTTTTTTCGCTCAGTGCAGCTTCTCTCACTTTGGCTGCCATCCACTTAATCCATTGAAACAATAAGCAGCTTTGTTTGTTCTATCCACGACGACAGTCTCGCACTTTTTCTTCAGCACTTTTGTTTTGTTCCTGCACTCCACGAAAATGGAAAGGGATGAAGCAATAAAGTGGAAGAGAGATAGGTTTAGATGCCGCCGCAGCAGTTTTAAGTTTTTCAATACAACTTTTCTTGCCGTTTAAATACCCTATAAAAAGGGGAAAAAGCTCAAAAATCAATTTCAAAGTTAATTTTTTGAATGAATATTTTAAAATACCACAAATGACACTTAAAAATAAGATAACGATATAAAGAAGATATGTTTTATGGTACTTTTAAAGATATTTTTTTCTATATTCTCCTTCTTAATGAAAAGTCATTTTAAATTCCAAATTCCAAGCTAGTTATCCATCGGTGCAATTCTGAAATCCCCCACCATTTTTGCCCGTTTTTCCATTGTAGTCTCGAAGCGCGTCTGAAGTGCAATGCAAACGGGAATGGAGACAATGCCGGTACAAAGTCTTCTTTGCCGTCTGCTTTCGGGTGTTTCATTTAGTGCTAACCTCTGGGTGCCCCCTTCTGTCTACTCCCCTGTCTGTATGCATCCTTAAAACCCCTTTAGTCCCATCCCACTAGGTTCCTGGGACTGCATCCCCTTGGCTAGCTTATGATGACAATGGGCTATGACTCCGAGGGGAGTTGTTGGGGTGACGGGGAAAAACGGCATCCCTTGGCAGTGATTACGAGTATTATAGTAGCTGCATGGTTTTGACTCCTCAAGGATCTATCCTCAGTTCGCATCGCGTGTGACAGTCACTTAATGTGCATATGTGCGGGTATATGGCGTTTTTGATAAGAAAAAGGCGCTACAAACATACATATATATGCACTCATATGGAGGAAGCAATGAAAGTGGTTTAGGGGTGTGTTAAAATGGGGGCCAAGATCTGCCAAGAAGTTTCATCAAATTGAAAAGAATGTGCGCAGGCTAAGTGGCGAAGATGATGGCTCATTATTACTACATTTTCCGGGTGTAAATTATAGCATACTTCACAAAAATTGTCTTGCAAATGAAGAAAGTTATTAGTACATGCTTAGAAGTAGAGAAGGTATACTAGATTGGTATCAATACCAATAGAGATATTGAAAACTAGCTATAAATAATGAATGTTATATTTTATATGAGTATAGAACATTTACTAGGCCCCAGCGATAATTAAAAATACCACCACCAGCTATTATTAAAAATGCTTCAACTAGTGTAGAATTTTTCCATTAAAAACTTAATCACAAATCACATTTATTCATGCTTATTGCAGCGCCGAACATAATGAAAATCTTTCTCACTCTCCACATTTTAATCCTGCCACACACACTATTCTATGGCCAGACTACAAAAGGCATTTTCACCCATTTTCCACCGACCATTTTCCAAGCCATCGTGTGCATTGTCGCCACGGAAATCCGCCATGTTGGCTGCTGCTGCTGCTTTTGGTTTTCCTCCATGGAGAAACTCAATGCACATTAGTACTACTGCTCGCACACACACCCATAACAATAAAACTCCCTTCGTATTATTTAAATTTCAAGTTATATACGAGTGTATGTGAATATAAAATGGTATTACTTTTTTTTGTGATTTTCTACCTGCTTGGCAGTAGCACAATAAGCCATAGAAAAGCGTTACAATGCCAAGCTGGCAGGGAAATAACAAAAGTTGCCAAGAATCAGCAAATAACTCTGCCAAGTTATGCCTCAGAAAACGTTCCTAGCCCCCACACACATTTCCACCCGAATCCATGAAATTTTCTTTATGTTCTTGGCAAAAACTTTTTTCTTGCATTTTCAGTGCAATCTGTTGAGCGAGAATGTTGTTTATTTCGCTTTTTTTTTGGCAAACTCTTTGCCGCGATGCGTCTGTGTTTCAATTGCAATATTTGCTTACAGAGGTTAAGGGTTAGCCTCGGCTACCTGTTTACAATTCACTTTGCTGCTCTTGAGAAATTACACATGCTTCACCCCCATTTTGGTTCATTTCTCGTTCGCTTCTTTTTCTTTGTATTTTTTCTCGCTGCCCCTTTCTTTCTATATACGTATGCATCGCTCGAATTTCTTTGTGTTGTTTGAGGGGGCCGGTAAATCGTCTGCTTTATTTGCCCGCTACTTTAGCCGACCTTCCACCACCCACAACACCCGCTTTTTCCGCAAAAGAAAAAAATACACACGCCTCTAATAAGCGTCCGTCAGCTTGGGGTTCCCCTCGTTTACTGCTTCTTGTTTGTCCCAACCGAAAAAAAGTAGAAAAGGAGGAGCAGCACAACAACATGATTGGAATTTTCCGGTGCAGACATTTTTGCAAAGGTAGTGGAAGGCAAAAAAATTGCGACCCCTGCATTACTTCTTTACCTTTCTCTTTCCTCAGCCCTTTATTGATTTCTTTCAGCTTTTACCTTTTTTTGTGTGCATGTTTAGTTGAAATTATAAGTTGTGGCATTTCGTTAGCTCAGGGTATTCAAAAAGTTAGTTTGATGGATGGAAACACGAATATATAACGAAATATATGAAATACTTATATTCTGTTTAGAAACATAAATCAGCTAAATAAAGGAATTTTTCTTGTTTAAGTTCAATAAACAAAAACTTGGCAATGAAACCTATCCAACACTTTAATTTCTTCTTAAAGTGAACAAGTTTTGTGCCAGACTTTGGCCTTGCCTTAGGACTGCTTTTCCGGCTGATTGCATTTGAATGGCTTAACTGAAATTCGAGAGCCTTAAATTACAAAAGGGGGCTACCCCTCTTCAGTTTTCCTACCCAACCAAACCACTATCCATTAGTTGTGATAACAAAAGGCAAAAGTTTCGGCAAAACAGACCAAAAAAGCCAAAACACAAACAAACCAATAAGGAAAACAGAAAATTTCTCATGCTTCCCTTTTATATTTTCTCTATGTTTTAGCTGGCATCAAGTATACGGACAACCAGCGTGTGATAATTCTGGTGAAGGATGTGAACGATGAGCCACCGTACTTCATCAACCGACCACTGCCCATGCAGGCGGTGGTTCAACTGAATGCACCACCCAACACTCCAGTTTTCACACTACAAGCTCGGGATCCCGATACGGATCATAATATTCATTATTTCATCGTTCGTGATCGAACTGGTGGGCGTTTCGAGGTGGACGAACGATCTGGAGTTGTCAGGACTAGGGGTCACGGATCTCTTTCAACTGGATATGGAATACGTACTGTACGTAAAGGCTGAGGATCAAAATGGAAAGGTCGATGATCGCAGATTCCAGAGCACTCCCGAGGAGCGACTTTCGATTGTGGGTGGCAAACGCGCCCCTCAATTCTATATGCCCAGCTATGAAGCCGAGATCCCAGAAAACCAGAAAAAGGACTCAGAGTAAGTCAAAACAAAATCGAAAATAAACACATTATGGTACCCATAAAGGAAAGGCTTCGTAAGGACACTGTCGAAAACCCATTAAAGATTTTTACTAATGCAAGAGTTACAGAATATAAAATGAAAAATTTTATCTATTTTTGTATTTAGAATTTAAAAATAAGCTCCATAAAAATCAAACATTTTTCATGGGGTTTTCTCTCAGTGTATGCAAATTTCGTGGGACTGCCAATAAAAGTTATGCATAACAATGCGAACTAGACGGCGGCCATGTGTGTGTGTGCTTGCTTGTGCTCGTCCTGCAGTGTGTGAGTGTATGTATATCTGTGTTTATCTTCATTGAAATTCCGATGGGAAAACAACTGTCAAAAGGCAGTGGAGCGAGTGACAAGCACATATATGCAGAGCTTGAAGTGGCCTGTAGATGGACATAAAATATGCAAGCAAATTTTACATTTCCCATTGCTAACTTTTTCCGTCTTCCGTATCCTTTCAGCATCATTTCGATTAAGGCCAAGTCGTTCGCAGACCGCGAAATACGTTATACTTTAAAGGCCCAGGGCCAGGGAGCCGGCACCTTTAACATTGGACCCACGTCGGGCATTGTCAAGTTGGCCAAAGAGTTGGACTTTGAGGATCTGCGACAGCCGCACGTGTACTCGCTGATTGTGACAGCAACGGAGGACTCTGGAGGATTTTCCACCTCCGTCGATGTGAGTGACATCTTTGTTTCAGTGGTTATGGCAGAGAAAAGATGGGAAAAAGCTTTTGTCATTTATTTCTCCTGTGAAAGTTTTTTCAATCAATCAATGAATTCTTTAAGCAAGTTTTGTGGTTAATCCTAGAAAGACAAATTAATAAAAGCTTTAATCCATCATTTTCTTTAAGAGTACAAGAACTAAACTGATTAATATTAAATTTTAGCTCACTATTCGCGTTACGGATGTGAATGACAACGCTCCGAAATTCGAGCTGCCTGATTACCAAGCTCACAACGTGGATGAGGATATTCCGCTGGGCACGAGCATACTTCGAGTGAAAGCTATGGATTCAGATTCGGGGTCAAATGCTGAAATCGAATACTTAGTATCCGATGACCATTTCGCCGTTGATTCAAATGGAATTATTGTGAACAACAAGCAACTGGATGCGGATAATAATAATGCTTACTACGAGTTCATAGTCACTGCCAAGGATAAAGGTGAACCGCCTAAGTCGGGAGTTGCCACAGTTCGTGTTTACACAAAAAACAAGAACGATGAAGAGCCAAAGTTCTCACAACAAGTGTATACCCCAAATGTGGATGAGAATGCAGGTCCTAACACGTTAGTTACCACTGTGGTTGCCTCTGATAAGGATGGTGATAACGTACGGTTTGGCTTCGTGGGCGGCGGCACTTCGTCCGGTCAGTTTGTCATCGAGGACATAACCGGTGTTATCCGACTGCATAATAAAGCCATATCCCTGGACAGAGACAAGTACGAGCTGAATGTCACGGCCATGGACGATGGATCATGTTGTGTGAATGGCGATCAAACTATCCACACCTCAACCGCCGTGGTTGTGGTCTTCATCACTGATGTTAACGACAATAAGCCAGTGTTCAAGGATTGCAGTACCTATTATCCGAAAGTTGAGGAAGGTGCTCCCAATGGTAGTCCAGTAATTAAAGTTGTGGCCACCGATGAGGATAAGGGAGTAAATGGACAGGTAAGGAATATATATGGATTTTAGATAATATATCCATACCTATAGAAAATAAATGGCATTATCGATTCTAAAGGATAAAAATAACTAAGTTTCAGAATGTTATTCCACATCATGTATAAAATATCCATAAAATGGAACCCTTTGGCCCATATCAACAACATTTAATCTCGATTAAGCTCGGAAACTTCCATTAATTTGACCATTAACTTATTTAGATGTACACACTAGCTATTACCAATAGCAAAGCCCACTTCAAGGCCTCTTTTGATTATCCTTTCCCTAATTACTTTCCCCCTTTTCGTTGGGCAAACCTGATTAATTATACGTTATTTGTGTTTTGAGGCCAACGCAAACATGATTACCCACACCTAATTGAATTACCTGCATGTGTGTGGAAACGATAGGGAGATTTCATGACGAGATTTTGCCATAATTTTCTTTTCGTGCCCGCCAAGTTCAATGCACTGCAAAGTGCATGTCGTGTGTGGAGGTCGAACGGTTCAACAGCTCTAATCGCAATTTGTGTCAATCATTAAACAATTTTTGCATGTTCTTGTTACAGGTGAAATACTCGATAGTTCAGCAGCCAAATCAGAAGGGAACTAAGTTCACGGTGGACGAGGAAACTGGCGAGGTGTCCACCAATAAGGTCTTCGATCGTGAGGGAGATGATGGCAAGTTTGTATCCGTAACAGTAAAGGCCACGGATCAGGGTGATCCAAGTTTGGAGGGTGTTTGCTCCTTCACCGTAGAGATCACAGATGTCAACGATAATCCTCCACTGTTCGATCGTCAGGTGAGTGATATTATAGTTTAAAAATCTCCAACATTTATCAATAATTCATAATATTTCAGAAATATGTAGAGAATGTGAAACAGGATGCCAGCATTGGCACAAATATCCTCCGTGTCTCCGCCTCCGATGAAGATGCCGATAACAATGGAGCTATAGTATATAGTCTCACAGCCCCCTTCAATCCCAACGATCTGGAATACTTCGAAATTCAGGCAGAATCCGGTTGGATTGTTCTCAAAAAACCCCTTGACGTAAGTGTTTGCTTTTCAATTGTCTTTCAGATTTAAAAAAAAGAATCTATTACCCCAATTATAAGTTTGCCAAATCCCAACTAACCAAGTCTTATAATTTGAATTAAAACTTTTCATTTACAAAAGAAAAATCTTTTGTTTTTACTAACTATTTCAATGACAGATGCTTAGCATCTACCGAGTTTTAGTCAGTTCTAGCGGCTTATACCTATATCTATCTAACTTATTATTACGTTTTTCGATTTTCTTCAAACTGCACCTTTATTTTTATTTGTATTTCAATACTTTACAAGTCCGCAAAAAGTGTCTTAGGTGAAACAGAATATGATGTGCCTGCAGTGCAAGTTTTTTGCCACATCCATCGAAATCTGCGTTTACAATATTTATAATAACTTAAACAATTTTAAGTTCATTCGAATTGTTTTGTTTAGTTTATAGTGCGTAATTGGCCAAAGAACGAAACCTTACCAAGTGCAAAGAATTCCAAGAAAGCAAATTGATTTTTAACATTTTTTGAAACAAATCAAAACTAACACGAAATAAAAAGAGAAATCCTAAGTATCAGAAGTTGGGATTAAAATGCTTATAACAGTTGAGCTGCTTGATTTTTTTGGTGCCAGGTTTATAGGATTAAGAACAATGTAAATATTGAAAATATTTCAAAACGAATACCCTTAAACGATCACGAATATTTTTGAGCATCGTTGTAACCTATTTTTTAAGGTTCTAATCGAAAAATTTTTAAAATATAGTTTTATCTTATGAAAAAGCTTAATTTTGTATTGCCTTTTTTTAGTTTTATCCCAAAAGAAAAAACTTTCCCAAGAAAATCCCAAAATGAAAAATTGAAGAAATATTTTTTGTCGAGACTATGATACTTTTTGAACGTCTCTTGCCACAAGCTTTACATATTTTTGGCTTAGCATTACATACGAATAAGTTTTGAAACCAATGTTCATATGGATTTTTGAAGAACATTTCATTCTGCATGCCCATTGAATATGTGGCCGAATACTTGTTTATGGATATTATTAGAATATATTAAAGTATTTTTGTTTTAACTGCACCTTTACTGTTTTGTTTTTTCCAATTTTCTAACTTTTTGTGAGGGAAAACGATTGAGGCATTTTAATGGTTTCAATTTTTATTTACCATTTATCTTTACATATCCAAAATTATGGTACTCGAAATATTTATCAACAATTTAGGGTTGTTATCCAGTAAGTAAATTCGATTACTTTTACTGTGCTAACCCCCAAAAAAGTCAAAAACAAAACTAAAACGAAGACTGTAAGCTAACCTGAAAAACGAAACTAACTCAAGGAACAGACTGTACTTCACTTAATTGTAAATAGTTGTGAACCTTCAAATTCACTTCATCTTAGGCAACTCAAAGTAGAGCAAGAATAGTCTCGTCAAAAGAAATCAATCCATTTATGTGAACCGATCCTCCGAATTCCTTGTAACAAAGCTTTTACCCCTACTAATCCTTCCCCTATCCCAAAATGTTTTATATATATCCATTATTTATCCAATATTCTGTTATATATTTAATTTTTTTTGTGTTTCATATATTTATAAAACCATTTGGTGAAAAATACAACATTTACATATTAAACAACGATGCCATCAAATACGTAATCGTTACGCGAACCCAATACACATACCGAAAAACGTAACGTACACTGTGCTAACATTTTGGGTTCGGTTCTCGACTACTCCTTTCAATGTTAACCCACTGTTTTGCTGTTGACGCTAACATTTTGGCCCTAAACTGTACTACTACTGCTTCAATCGAAATTCACCCAATCAATCAAATCAATCAACAGCGTGACCGTTATCGCTTGAGGGTTAGCGCCTCCGATAAAGGCACTCCCGCCTCGGCAGCCGATGTCGATGTTGAGTTAGATGTCGTCGATCGGAATAATAAGCCACCCATTTGGGATAAGAGCATTTACGGGCCGATACACATACGCGAGAATGTCACTGTGGGTACGGTTGTAACATCGGTTAAGGCAAGGTTTGTATAGCCAATGAGAACTCAACACCTAACACTAAACTAAACTAAATCTAACTTGCGAGTCTAACAGCTGTCGGTCCCTTAACATAGTTTAGTTAACATTTTTGTAAAAATAACAGTGGAATAACAATTGGCTAACCTAGCTTTAAGCTTTCATGTTTTTTTAACATACGATACGGTCATTGTTACGTGAGCTTTGCCATGCGAAAACCTCATTTTTTGGGCAAATCGTAAAAGCAATCAGCGAATACGGCAACCAAAAGTCCTTTGAAATCTGCAGTAACCAATCGAAAATGGAAATGGAAAAATTCAAAATCCTAAAATCTTTTGTTGCTGGGTTGTATATGGTTTTGATGTGAGCAATCAGGTTTTTTATACGGTTGTTCCTCAAGATCTTTTTGGATTTTGTCGAGTCTTTTCCCCTTTCTCTACACCAAAATAAACACATATTACCATTGGATCTGTTACTTTCCTCCTTTCAAAGACTCAAATCCCCTACATCAATCAATGCCTGGAATATTGTGAGAATCGTAATGAAATTTTTGGTGTTGGTTTTCATTTGAAAAATGCGCGCTGCTTGTAATGGTCATTTACTTTATAAGTCAAACAAGGTTGAAGTTTAGATGTAAGCTAGAGGAAAGAAGGTAACTAAATAAAGTGTTCAAAAATGTTAAAAAGCAATAGTCGAAATCGAAAAGAATTATAACCACAGCAAACTATGTAAAGTATGCTATGAAAATTGTACTTATAAAATGCACAAAACCCTATATTAGTTTATTATATTACATATTTCGTTATCATTTTTATTTTAATGCTAAAAATAATTATTCAAAGAACAAAACATTAATTTTTGAAGGCTAGGGTCGAGACTATATACAATACTTTGCACTGCATTTGAAAAAAAAACTTTTTACCTAAGGGGTTAATCTTGAAATATTGTTTTTCCCGATTTTCAATTTATTTTCTATTTTTTTAACTAGAGGTGTTGGTTTACAGTTTAACTTTTGATTTTTAACCAAGATATAATTATTATAATTAAATCTGTTTTAGAACTTCTTTAAATAAAAGGTTCCAACTATATTATATAATTTTGTTTTTTGCCTTTTTCCTGAACGAATTTCGTATTTACCAACCAATATCGACTCGTCTGTCATTTTTGCAACGCCTTGCTTGATTTTGAAAAAAAAACATATAAAACAAAACGATTTTTGAAAATATTGATCGTGAAATGTATATAAAATACAGCGCGAGACATACAAGTTAGAGGCCATGGCCCAAGACAAGGGCTATCCGCCATTATCGCGTACTGTCGAAGTACAGATCGATGTGGTCGATCGTGCTAACAATCCGCCCGTCTGGGATCATACTGTCTATGGGCCCATTTATGTCAAGGAAAATATGCCCGTTGGCGGCAAAGTCGTCTCGATCAAAGCCAGGTCTGTTCATTTTTCGTGCAAAACAGTTTATCACAAAAAAAAAATTAAAAATCAAACATGAAATAAATTTCATTCCATTTTGCTTAGTTCGTTTTTAAGAATTATATAAATATTTGTTTTCATTATAATTCTAGATGTTTTTTTATATCATATAATATTGGTTATTGGTGTCATGTCTTGCCGATCATTTATTTCTGTGTGTTCTGAATGTTTGCTCTAGATGTTCCATAGATATTGCCATGCCTTCGAAGAAAGTGTTTCTGTATAGTTGCATAATACTAATAGACGCTCTCTTCGAATCTTATTTGTTTACTGTGTTCACCCAAATAGTTTTCCCCTTATCCATATCATATCTTCCCATAGAACCCCCATCATTTATATGAAGCACTCCAAGCTGCACCAGTGAAATATACACTCAATATATGCTAATACTGCACAAACTCACACTTGTATATTTATTAAGCACATATATTTATTTACTGTTACTCCAAGCTATATTTTTAAAAAGTAAATATGTTTAAAACTATAGGAAAGCTACTCATATTAGCTTTGACTTTGAGCACTTATGTTCTACCTAAACTGCCTATTGCTATTGAAATAATATTCTATATAGTAATATTATATATAGACTACAACTTTGAGGCTTTATTTTATTTTTTTGTATTTTTCGGAAAGCTCAAAATATTTAGAATTTTTTGTCACAATGCCACCGTGAAAATCTGAGTTTATGTTGTTTCAAGGCAATAGTGGCTTTGGCAAATTTTATAATTTTTTCTTTTTGCCACATACAAGTGCTGCATAAACTTGAAATGGCACACAAGTCGGCTTTGTCGCCAGCCTTTGCCGCATGATGAGCTGGGTCAGTTTCAATTACCTGCCACTTAGTGCCAGCCAGAGGCAAAAAGTAAAATATACAAGTCGCCATCTGAAGGGAGATGGTGGAAAAAAAAGCTAAAAAGTTTATTTTAAACAAAGTTTTGTTTTTTATAATTGCAATTAAAAAACTTGAAGCTGCGGACTTTAATGACTTTTGACCCCACCCCGCGACACTATTCTGCTTTGGATCTCCCCGGGCAGCGTTTTATCTTCGTGGCAAACCAGCCACATGGCACTGGCATTTTAATTATGCGTCAGTCCAAGTCAGTTTTTATATTATCCAATCCTATTTTTTACCATGCACTTTACCCTCTATCTCGCCGCACTAAAAGCAAATGCACTTAAGCCGTAAGGCCACCTTAAAAATAAATATAAACGTAAATAGAGTAAAGAAAAAAGTGAAAATACTGCACATACGCACCTGCACACACCTGAGTCTGATCTTCTGAATCTGCTGTTTAGCGTTAGTTTAGTGCCCTTAAGTACACTTCCTTTCTGTTCCCCAGCGCAATATTAAGGAAATTACAATCTATTAAACGTGCTTGGGTTCTGCTTTCTGTTTTCTTTTCTCGCCTCTGTTTTTTATGTGTTTAAATTATTTTGAATGAAAAGCATTTTCATCCTGAGTTTTCTTCTTCGCAATTATCTGGTCATGTCCCAGCACAGAAATTTGCTAGCAATATGTATGTATACATTGGAGGTCATTAGGAGAGGGTTTAAGTGTTTAAAAAGAATGGGTTGAAGGACTTCCGAGTGTGTGCGTATATCATAATAATTCTGTTTGCTCCTTGGGGCGTCGCGAGTCCTTAGGGGCTTAAATAAACAAGGTTGAAGGCATATTACTAATATATCTTTTACAGAGATCTCTTAGTCAGCATCTATTATTTTATAATTTTTTACAATATTTTTTTAAGCCCATAGAATTTAGTTTAGGTTATAAGCAAACTGCAAACATTTGCTAAGTGTACAGAAGCAAAAATATACATAATTTTGAAACACTTTATTTTAGGTTCTCAACACAATCAATGAAATTAAAATCAATTCACACCATCCAATCACAGAACAACTACAAAACCAAACGAAACCTCCAAGAAAATTTCATGCAATCCACAAATTTCCCAACCATTTTCCCCACCAACCTTTCCGCCATGAATTTTTTTGTTCGGAACAATAATTTTTTTGTGCCGTTTTTGTCCTTGGCAACATTTTGTGCGCAATCCTGACAGTTTTCATTTATTCTTAAGACCCGTTCTTAAGGCCTTTTTTCGACGCCCTCGTCTGTCAGTTGCAAGTGTTGTCCAGGCTCAAATAATATACATTATATATATGGTATATATATTTTTCTCTTCTTTTTGCGCCTAATTTGTTTTTCATTATCATGTGCCGAACCCATTCCCGAAATAGTCAAATGGCAATTAGACTTTTTGAGGCCATTTGGTTAATATTCGGTTGCGTTTTTTTCGGTTTTCACTTTTTGAATTGCACAAAAGACGCTTTAAGGAATTAAATTGAGTTCAAATTTTTAAAGCGCACAATATGAATTTTGGCTGCACTTAATTTTAGAGCAAAAATTCCATCTATGCGACCAGTTTTTTGTATTTTGTCTTTTTGCATGTGTTTAAGTCTAAAACAAAGACTAATTTTTGTGTGTGTGAATGTATGACTGTTTTTTAGAGCAAGAGAAAGTCGGCTAAACCTATTCAAATATTTACCCTTCTCTTGCTCTTTTTCAATTGATTTTTGATAAACTTAAATAAATTTAACAATTTAATTTGTAGTTTAAGCATAATTTCATGTAGCGAGTATTTAACAACGATTTTAAAACGTCATAAAGTTCCTTTTACTAATATTTTCTATTTTTTCACACTTGACCTTTGGCCTTAACGTCTGCAGTTCGGGTATTGAAGGAAATCCCACAGTTTTTTATCGACTGATGCCCGGGTCAACGGCCCAAACGAACAAATTTCACACGTTCTACTTGCAACAAAGACCGGACAATGGCGACACTTGGGCCGATATAAAAGTAAATCATCCGCTGGATTACGAAAGTATCAAGGAATATAATCTTACCATACGTGTGGAGGTGAGTTTGAAGAAGAAAACCCAAAACATAAAATTAAAAGAAACCCCAAGCGAATTCAATTTAAAGTTGCCAAATGTTTGCACAATTCTCAGAAGGCAGCCGAAAGTTTTCAATTCGGTCTTAGGCCCAATTAGACATGTATTTGACTTTTGTATTTGAGAATGACTTCCAAATACGTTTGTAATTATTTGATTTGAAAAGTTTTAATTACTTGCGCGAGTTTCCTCACCGGAAAATGCAAATGCGAGTCCCGCTTCGTTTCGAATTCATTAGAAACTAACTGATTGAGCGACTGAATGACGGACCAACTGACTGACTGAATGACTGACAGCTCGCGGCTGAACGGTAATCAATTGCATTCCCAATCAATGTCAAGTTTTAGCATTTCCTCATTAGTTTGGCCATTCAGCGAAGGACAAATTGAATGCCAGACTAAATAAACTGCCTACTGAAATATTAATGGGAATTCCGTTGCTAACCGCAGTGCATTGCAACAAACTTGCCTAATGAAATGTTTTTAAAAATGCAATTCCAAATAGGATTTCCACCGTTTTTCATGTGATGTGCAGGTAATTAAATATCGCAAGGTTTCAGTTTCATTGCCTGAAAATTACCCACTAAAAGCTAATGGTCTCCAGTGGGCCTAAAACGTTCGTTGAGTTGGGTAAAACGAATTTCTAAATGAATTTTGAATAAAGCTTGCGGTCTCGGGGACGCCATAAGTGTGTATTTTTCCGCATATTAGTTTGACAATATTTTTGTATAAATTTTTAATTCCGTTTTTTTACGTCGTTGCGGTTGGCAAACATGTCAAATACATTTTTTATTTAACCCGTTGTTAGATCTAAAATGCTTAAATTATTTAGAACTGTAATTAATTTTCCGGGAGGCATTAAAGTTAATTTAAAAAATGTAATAAATCCTGAAAATTCTTGTTTAGTATTTTTGTTATATAAATTGATAAATCAGGCAGTGAATCTTAAGCTCCTAATGACAACTAATCAGAGTTCTCAGTCCAAAAACACCCATCATGGTCAATAACAAGTCTAATTACGGGCCTGGCAAGAAACATGTGTTTACCCAGGAAAATGGAACGAACACAAAATAAATAATTCATATCGGCACTGCTCTCCATCAGAGAGTCCTTGCTCATGTCAACATTAGTGTAAACATGTGTTCATATATACATATATATATATCGATTTCATATGCATTGATTAATAACGTAATGCCGGAATGTGAATGCCAAATAGTGTGCAAATAAACGTATGGGACAGGAATATTAGCAAGGCCAATCGGCAATCTGGCCATAAAACAACTAATAAATGACAAGTTGCCAATGAGATTTGTTCTATTGATTGATGGGCGGTGTGTAATCAATCATTTGACAAAGGGTGAAACCGACATTTATCTCGAATCCCCATTAACACATATGAGGAGAAGGAGGTTTTACGGTTCAATATCCATCACAGTTTTTCCCGCAACGCTAAAGAATTTCAAACATTTTTTAATCAGTCAACCTTTATTACAAATTAATATACAAATATTTTATCAGGAGCAAAAAGCGACCAGCGTAACTCATTAAACACACTTTATGGCTTAATTAAAAAACAAACAGCCAACAGACCGGGTGAAAAAAGTTATGAAAAATCAAATATACCCCTTTTTAAATTGGTTTTCCACCCTTCATTTTCACCTCTTTTTCCAGAACAACGGGGCCCAACAATTGGCATCGGAAGCGACCGTTTACATAATGCTCGAGGATGTTAATGATGAAATACCTTTATTCACCGAACGAGAACAGGAAACGGTGCTCGAGGGAGAACCGATTGGCACCAAAGTGACACAAGTGAACGCCATCGACAAGGATGGCACATTCCCAAATAATCAGGTGAGTACCACCCCCTGCAGTCCAACTGTGAAATGGTGAGGAATCGGGGAAAATCGGCGGAAATGCCAGACGATTGCTATAGCAAATTAAAGGGAAAACGAAAAAAGGAGACAAAGAATCTCCCGGAAAAAAACAGATGAAAAGTGGAAACAACGAGGCGATTAAGAAGTCCATTTAAAGAGCAGATCCTTAATTTAAATATTTGACAGCTTATGGAGGTGTAAAAATAGTCTTTTTTATAACTTTTTAAACCAATTTAAATTTGCTTTTAAAACAGTTTATATTAAATTTCCCTGTAAATCGCATCAAAGCTAACTTTATTTTTCATAATCCCATTAAATCAGCAATCTCTTAAAGCCCTTCATGTTGAACTTTCCTCAACGAAGCCCTCTTCAGTCCCTTTAAATTACCATTATCATCGCTATCCCAATGGTTTTACCCGCTTTCTAAGCCAACTAGAATTTTTAGCGCTTCCCCTAAATTTTTCTCACTCCACTTTCACCGACCCTTTCACGCCTTTGTAATTGTTTTTTGCTCCTTCGCTGACCACGTCCTTCGTCCATTTGGCCATCAGCTGGCAGATGGCTAATAAATGTCAAAGAGTTAACATTTTTGCACGCCTTACAAGTGTGTGTGCTAAGCCCTTGGTGAAAGTCCAGGATGAAGAAGGGCGTTTTGAAAAAAAAAACTAATGCAAAATGCAAAACGCGCACAACCGCAGGGGTATCTCTTTTAGTGATGAAAGGGTGTAGATGGGTCGGGTCTTTCAGACAGACCCCTCAAGCCCCTTTTGCGATTATAATAATATGGCACTTTGGGGTGGACATTCTTTTATTTTTTTTTTTTCGTTTCGTTTTTTTTCTTTGTAAGTCTTCAGCCAGCCACAATTTGTGTCCTCAAGCCAAGTAATTTGCATGTACGCGCGAAATGTCCGCACTAATTAGCGTTTTCATTTATAGTCCCGCCTTTTCCCCCTCGAATGGTCACGGGATTTGATTATCATTATCGTTCCTCTTTAATGTCCGAAGCAGTAATTAAATTTCTTTCATTTCCTCACTCTCGGGACCCGAGTTAAATTCTTAATTTGTCTCCTTTTGAAGTTATGTATGTGAGTTCCATGTTTTAATTAAGCTGAAAATCGAGCCGATATAAACCAGAATATCCTATGTGTTTTATTCACTTGCAGGTCTACTACTACATTGTCGATTCGCCGCGAAACGAGGGCAAAGAATTCTTCGAAATTAACCTGCAGAGTGGCGAAATATTCACGAAAACCGTATTCGATAGGGAGAAGAAGGGCGCCTATGCCCTCGAGGTGGAGGCACGGGACGGAGCTCCATCTGCTCGTCCCAATAGCAATGGACCAAATTCAGGTAAGCAATAAATATTGAACTTTACTTTAGCTGTTTTTATTAGCCGAAATCGAATAGAAATCCAGATAAATACATGGGTTCTCGGAGATGGCCGGGGAAATGTTGAAATGTCTTCAGAAAATGTATTCATTAAAGCAAGAAATATTGGAAATTTTATACAAAACTACGCGTTACATATTCCGAATTCTTAAATTTATGACAATGCATAGTAAAGTTATGTATTTTTATACAAACAAGTCCTAAAAACTCAGAACGAAGTCCAATTATTTATCTTTGTAAACTTTATGTTTATGCAAAGTGACAAACTTTTATCGCACCGAGATTGCAAAATGCATAATATAGTTTAGAAACAAATTGCCGAGTTCTTGAGTGCCAGTGATTCGCTATAAAATGACAGCAAATAAATTTAAGTTGAAATTCCCCGAAAACCAGAAACGAATTCGCTCTCCAAATATTGACTAGCTTGTCTGTGTGTGAGTGATTGAATGTAGCTGATGTGGGTGAGTGTGTTTAGTCGAGTGCATTTGGGGCATTTTATTTATGCGGCATGTTGGCCAGGCATTTGCCACATTTGGCGTGGCGGACATCAAAAACATTTTACGTCAGCCGGGCCTCCTGAGTTTGAATGGTTAAGCTGGTTGGAAAAATATTTGACATAGGTGAGGATTGTTGACGGGGTTACATCAGATTGCCAGGATGTCAGGGGATTCAAAAACTAAAAGCATTTCAACTGATTTTATTTAAAGAAATGAAAAAAGTCGATGGCGTTTGCGTTCTTTAATTTTACAATTTATTGGGGTTGGTCGAATATATATTTTGAATCAAAATAATCAAAATTTTATATTATGTCAACATTCCACAATTACAAAAACAAATACACTTTGTTTGCTGAATCAAAATGAGCAATTAAGAGAATGTCAGAATTTTATTTTTAAAATTTGATTTGTAACTTGTGGCATGTAGCATGTTGCTTCTTTTTCATTTGTTACAAATTTCTATGGGTAAGCCTCGGCATCATTGTTATTTGCTGTTCATTAAAAATTGCCCCTGAAATGGCAATCAATTTTCTCTGCTTCTCCGCTTTTACATCGTGGATTTTTTATATTTTTTCGTTGTTGTTCTTCTGCGGCAGTCCGTGAAAATGCTTTTCAATTGTTTAATACGTCACTAAGCCGTACATAAGCTCGTGGTAAATGGAAATGGCGAAAAAATAGACTCGGCAGCGGGCCACATTGAAAATGATGTGCAATCAACATGAGCGCTAGGCGAAGACAAGGGGGCTTTTGGCCATGAAAACGAAAATTAAAAAGTTTTCATGTTGGTTTGGAAAATGGAAAGACCCATATATATATATATATATATATGTATGTAAATTACAGCAGTTGCTTACAAATATTGATATTCATGTTGAGCGAAAAAGTTGTGGCAGGGTTTTTGGGTGTTTCTGAAGGTTGGTAGCTTTTCGGTCGGCTCATTTTTAGGGCCAGGTTTTTGGCAACAGCTTGTGGCTTCGCAATTTCCACAGCCAAAGCAAACAGGGCTCGTTGCTTGGGATCTTGTTTAGAGAAAAGGCAATAAACTATTGTTAAAAGCCTGTACCCGGCGATGATTTGTTTTCCGTTGCTATTTTGTTTCGACATTTTGGTCTCGTTTTCATTTTCTGCTGATGCAATGCAAAAGTTTTCCGGCTTTTATTTATTGTTTTTAATTGATGTTGGCTTATTTGTTTTTACACGGCAACGCCAACAAATAGGTATATATATATTTATGGCCTTTTGTGGGTTGCATGAAAAACTGTTTTGGCAAGCAGGAAAAGCTGAAATTGTAAATCTCTGGCATACTTTTTTTAGCATGTATTTACATATGAGATTGACTGAATTTCAGGCATCAATAGTTGCGCCTCATTCATAGCTTTTATTTGACCTGGAAAATCTGGAAATTAAAGCTATCATGTTGGTGGGAAATGTGTCAATAAAATATGAAAAAAAAATATTTCTTTAATTCAGGAATTTCTTACCATCAAAGCTAATAGAATGAAGGAACGACTTTTATTAAACCACTCTCTTTGGCTAAAAAATGTATTGCTACCTTCAGAAATACAAAATGAAATGGATTTCCTTGAGAATATGTATTTCTCTAGACTTAATCAATCCCTGTACTAAGCTTGTGCAATTTGATTCAATTTTTTCCACTTCTACTGAATTTTCTGGATTTTCCTTTGGCGTGGTTCTGGCCTTTGTTCAATTTCGCTTCAATATTTGTCTGTCACTCTAGGTGCTTCGCATTGGCTTTCCTCTCGGTTTTCTTTTTTTGTGTTTTGTATCATTGTTTGTTGATATTTGCATTGGGTTTTTACTTTTTGCATTTATTGTGCCGTGATGTTTCTGCGGCGCTTTGACTGCGTTTTCGCTTTCCTCGATGGAGGAGTTTTTCCAACCGACCATTATGCGGTTGCCCTGGGTTTCCGTTTTGCATTAGAGCCGAGCAACTCATTTTATTTGGTCTTTGTTGTTGTTTGGCTTTGAGCATCCTTCCTTTTATCCAGCGACCTTGTGACCCATTTAAATACCAACAGTCTTGCCACAGCTGCGTTTCGGCTTGCATTTTCCGCTCCATTGGCAAGCAGACCCGAAGCGAAAAATCATTTGCCTAAATAACAAACATATCTGTTATCCCACACGCACACAAATGGACGGACCCAAAAATCACATAGACTCTAAGCCACTGAGAGAAATTACAACTGAAATTGAAAACATTTGTTCCTAAAAATGAATTTTTTTAGGAAATTAAAGACCAACGGTATTAGTTTTACAATAGGATTAAAAAAAGTTATATACGTCATCTTTAATTTTTGTCGTATCAAAATAGTTTAAGCCACATTAAAAGCTTTTTAACTTTCTTCCTCTGCACCCAGTTATCGATGTCTTGTTTTTCCTGAATACTTTCCTTGCTTTCCTTTCCGTTTGTTGTTTGGTTATCTGTGGAACGTGCTCTTTTTAGTTATGCATACTTTTAGGCTTAGCAGCAGCCTCTCTGCACGTAGCAAATCCTTTTGCCTTCTTTGGGTATAAATGCGCCAACAGGGAAACCAAAACACCAGACAAACAAAACATGACAAATGTCGGAAAGTTAAATTTTAAGCCTCACTGGGCAGTATAAAGGAGTTATTCAGGAAAAAAATAAACCCAATGGAAATTATTTATTATTTATCCAGGGGCCAAGAAAATTGAGCCACTGCCGGGAGCAAATTAATCCCATCCTTTTCTGTTTTTGGTACTCGTAAAAATCGCATTAAATAAAATAAGCAGAATTTGCATGACATACTTGAGTGAATGGCCAAGGGCAACCTTAACAATGGCCAAATTGTTACACACATCATAAATTCAGAGAAAATAGAAGAAAGGCTAAAGTGAGCGAGAGTCTCAAGTTATTCGGAAACAACACCCTTTCGGGCATAAACGCTTCTCAAGCAGTTGTCTAATTTCTGGGGCGGAAATAAGTGCTCGTAAAAAATGTTCGAGCCCATAAAATTGGGCCACACCCATCGAATATTACCGCCCCTTTTCGCCAGAACACAACCGTTTTAGCAAAGAAGCAACTCTGAACTTTGCTCTAAATATTCGATAATGCTTTTATGCCATGCATTCAATTTATGACTTCCTATGAAGGGTCGGTCCAGCAATTTGTAAATAGTTTGTTTGATTTTTTTGTTTGTGTTTTTTCGCCACTTTAAACTGTTCTCGACACACATTGCGCATACGCAGTGATGTCATCGAAAGTTGAACAATAAATGGCCGTCGAGTCGTGAATTTCTTCCTTTGCCCATGGCTGCTCCGGCACTCGACGGAACCATTTATCTTGATTGCCACACTCCATCATTTATGATCGATGCTTGAACTGCGTCCTCTCCGCCAGACATTGAACCCTCGGTTTAAGGCATTAAAAATAGTCTGCGATGACCATCAATATTTGCTGTAAATTGAATCTGTTTGTTAATAATGGGTTTTCATTCTTTCTCTTTTGTTTGCAGGTATGTAAAAGGAACTTTGTTTAGTCGTTAGTGAACATGACAGATATTAAGAAGCTGGCGGTAGGGTGTAAAAGTTAAATATTTAAATTTAAAGCCAACTTCAAATAACCACTAGAGCAATTTTTCTTAAACCCTTAAACTCTAAGCCCATAAATACTGAGTACTTCCAATTAGATAAAAGACAAAGACAATAGCCAGACAGGTTAGTACTTTATATATATGGAGATACAGTTGGTCTTCGTAGAATAGATATGCACTGTTAATATTAGCCCGACAATTCCAAACAATTTGTCAAAAGCAAACCAAAAGAGACGGCAGATGGAGTGGAAAACAAAAAGGGAAAAGCGAATATATCTCACAGAAAAAGAGTGTATGTGGAGAGAAGAAATCATGAAAAATGGCATTTCCACATTGCCAACTTCATTTCCGCTTTTCCTTAAGAACGGTCAGAGTGGCAACAAGTCAACAACAAGTTGGCCAAAGTGGCAGCTGCATTTACCATTGAAGAGCTGACAACGTCTTGAGAAATGCCTCAAGCCAAACGCTAAAATGAGGGAGAAAATGCAAGAGAAAAATAGAAACCGAAAAGAAATGGGAGAGAGGTCCAAAGTAAACGCAAATATGTACTTTTCGACCATTAAACAAAGCTGCCGGCACTTGGGCCAATTTGCTACGTTTTCTGGTTAGCCGCCGATAAACAAGAAGAAATACTTGAATGTTCCTTCAACTACTTATCCTTTAATTTGCATAAATCGCCTTAAATTCCCCGCTGGCATATTTAAAGGCTTGCCTAACAATGGCCCAAAAATAGACACCGAGCAGCAAGTTTTGCGCCGAATCGAGTCAATTGCGCTTTCTAGAGCAATAAATCTTAGAGATTATTTTAATTTCATGCAAACTATTTCAAGCTGAGCTGCGTCGAGATGCCTGTCAACAACTTTTGCGACTTGAGAACAGCAGCAGAAGCAGCAGCAGCAACAAAAGATAACAAAAAGTTGCCGAACCTACGCAAAAAAAATTAAAGGAGGTTACGCCGTTAAAAACAGCGAATACTCCCTTTCGTAAAAACGAGGTTAAAGTCCACAAGCAGAGATGAGAACATTACATTTTCCTGTCGGGAAGTTAACAGTTCTGGGGTTTGTGGAATAAATGTTGCTTTTTGGGATCCCAAAAGTTAGGGGAAGGTTTAACAGAAATTCGAAAATGTTCGTAAACAGGCCACCAAAGGGACTCCATATGGAGGGGAAACTTTTTAACAGTATAAAGTAAACTTTTTAGTTTGTGTGGAACATGTCTCGGTAGATAGCAGAAACTTCCCCTGTTTATCTAAAATGAGATCCACACTCCCCCGAAATTTATATTAAGAGTATATTTGATGTTAGCTCCTTCGATGGCTTTCGAATTCCACGCTCTCACTTGAAAGACTTTATTTCTCTCTCGATGTAGAACTTATGTTAACTGGGTTCGTGAGCAGCTCTTGAAATCTTTTTTAACAGTGCCGGCATTTTGGCAGGTCTTTGAACCTGTTCAGCACACCCAGCTGGCTCTGTGTGCGTGGTCGTGTCGGTGTGAATGGGGAAGGACTCTTAACATCCTGCCACTGCTGTTCATGGCGTTTTTCGAGGACGCTTCTGAACATGTTGAGCAGCCATCGAAGCGAATGCAATGAAATGCATCTCATATACGAGTATAGAGTAAGGATCCAGCCTGCTTGCCATCAAAAATGCGAATCTGTTGAATGGGAGTACCGAGTGCTATTTGATGAGCAATTTTAATGCACTTCACCGTGACCTTGGGACCCATAAAGCAAAGGCTTCTCTTTCACGATAATTTCGATTTATTGACTTATTCAACTAATTAATTGAGATATGTAGCTTTAAATATAGTGATACATTTTAAGGCATTTTGACACTTAAAGCAATATTACTTCACTAATTTTACTATAACATTACTAAATAATAAAACCAAGACCTTTTCGTTTGTGAAAGAAACCTGAATATCAAGCCGAGCTGTGAGCTCAAAACAGCTTTCAAAACACAAGCTACAACTGTGGGCGTAACCGCGCCCACTTGAGTTGATATTTATGGCGTCGCACTTTGGGTCCACTTTTCAATAAACTGCTTAGTCGCAGTTGCAGGCCACAACAGCAGCGAAAGCATCGCAGAATCTTCTCCTCCATTCGGTGATTTATAAGTGCAGGGTTTCACACCCTCACCCCCACACATAGTACATACCACACCCCCTGTTGCCACAGCCTCTGCATGCATCTTGTTGCTATCAAAGTGCAAATAAATTACTGGCAGTGGGGGAAGAACTGCCCATTTGGCATAATGCTAGCCAGGGGCAAAAGGATAAAGGCAGCGATTCAGTCGACTGCCTAAGCGTTTTCTGATGAGACAGCTCACCTGTGCATTAAAGAAGGAACTCTATAAAAATTTAAGGTCAATGGAATGCCATTTTTTATAGAACGAAAGTTATAAATGTTGAAAGGATGCTTATAAAACCAATATATTTTAGTTAAAAGAAAAATTGGTCATACCAAACTTGTTTTTATCGATTGAAATATCCTTTATTAATTCACTTTATTCCTTACATATAATATAAATAGTTTCCATGTAACACGGCTCAAATGTTAAATTAAAATTCTCATGGTGTGGAATTATTTTAATTGCCACAAGGATCAGGTATTTGATGTCCTGGCATCTTGGCCAACAACTATGCTCGGTATTTGTTTGTGGGCAAATAGCCATTAACTGGCCTTGTCATTCACTTTCATTCACTTTGACATCGTTGTTGTCGTTGTGTCGACGCTTTCAAACGTAAATGACACGTGTCAAAAGTCAGTAGCAGCAACCATACAACAAAAATTGCCAAGCCCACGCGGACAACTTTAATTGTTTACGAAAAGTCCAAGACCTTTCAGCTTCAAGTTGGTTGCAGAAAATTAGGTTAATACTGCTAGAATGTCCAGCAGAGTGTTTTGGTCTCGTTTTGGCCAATATTTCCACTGGAGATTAACGTCACACCCAACCTGCTTGGCACCTTTTTCAAGGCAAATGATTAATGACAGCAATTTTGGGGTGAAATTCGTGTGGGGCAAGTATTTTTCCCTCTTCTGTCTAGGCGTGGGCAGCTCTCCTTTTGATGGAAATCTACTTGTTGGCGCCAGTTTTTCAGCCAATCAAATTTGTCCGGAGGCGAAGCTTGGCCAACTGATTTATTTCCTAATCTCGCAGTATTAATGATTACCTAGCTTACCATGATTACCGAAATTTTGCATGAATTAATCATATCGAAAGCTAAGATGAAAAGGTTTTTAGAGGTTCTCTTTTCACATAGACCAAATAAAGAAGTGTAAACATTTTCTTTTGTTAGTTAGGTAACTTACCTAAAAACTCAACAAAAAAAGAAACCCAGACATTTTTCCAAAATACACTATAAAAAAAGTCCTAGTCGGTGAAAAAATGGTTTTGAAAAATGCCAAAGACAAATGCATGAAAGGAAATATCTGGCAAATTAGTGGGGCATAAAGCCGGGGCCAAACAACTTCAGGTAGCTGGCTTTTAACCCTTCCGGCAGCAATATTGAAAGCCACGCAAGAGATACACGGAATTGCAAAGAAGAAGAAGGAGTACGAATGTCGTTTGTCGGCATTTGTCACGTGCAGTGACAGGTCGTGGGGGCGGTGGATGCGGGCGTGGCTGGATGTCGGTTTGTTTGGGAATTTGTGTGCAGCGTTTGATTGAAAGGCGTTGCGATTGTCGCTCCTCCACGTTGCAATGCCTAACCCCAAAAGGCATGGAAAAACTCTATACGAGTATAGTATGTATATCAGTTGGGGCAAAAATTCGTGGCATTCTGCACATAGCGGCTCTCAATCAACTCAGCCAGTCAATCAACCAGTCAGTCACTCATGCATTCAATTATCCAATTCAATTCATTTGAACACGCGTGCACTCGAAATTATTGCACAAGCGGGTTTTGTTGAAATAGCCTGATGAGATGTACAAAATTGAAGAGCACACAATGCTGGAAAAACATCAATGAAAATGTTCTTCCTAACTAGTTATCCTGCTCGTATTTGCATTTAAAATATCAAATATATAAAGAGGAAATTTGTTGAAGAATTCTATAGATGTTCTATAGGTTTAACTATGCTAAATCA